CTTGTTTTATTTTCTTGCTCCCCGGTACTCGATTTGGCTCCCACCATCTTGTACTGGACCAGAAGGGCTCGGGAGGTTGTGCAGGAGAGAGTCTTGTGCTTTCTGGGAGCACTTTCTACCCCAAGGGAAACTTCAGGTCCGTCTGTTCTTCCAGCAGCTCTGCAGCCTGGCTGCTCTCTCACCCACCAGCAGTTGGCTAAGTGCCTTCCAAGATTTTTCTTTAAAAAAAAAAAAATCCTCCAGGCAAAGTCATTCCAGACTTAGTTTGCCTCTCAGTCCCCTAATGACCTTTCTCCAGCCAACAGTAGTAAGACTGAAGAGCTAGAGGATCTGAAGTAGATTCTTGATTTTTTGGGGAGCAAAAGAAAAAAAGATATAAAAGTCCTGGTTCCTTTAAGTCTCCAAAAACCTTCCCGGCCTGAGCTCCTTACCCACATTCAAAGTTCCTTGGGTCTAACCCTGTAGGCCTTTAGCCAGTGTTGGTAGAGCTCAGGACATCTTCTGGGAGCCACAAACGCAAGCATTGCTGAAGTCTCTTTAAGGAGGGTCCTGGCGTTGAGTGCCAACACTTCTTCTGGCTTGAGCATTTTCTTTTCTTGATACTACCAATCAACACAGGAAAAAATGGCTCCCACCTTCCCTCCTTATTCCTGCTCTCCCTATTCTCCAGCCACCAACCCTTTTCGGCAGCCAACTCTGCAGGCAGTAGGAACCTCAGGGCAGCAGGTCTAGGGTTCTGTATGTTACCCCACTGCTGGAGGGGCAGGGAGACCCCAGAAAACTAGCTGCTCTGGCCTACCTGGCATGATTTTGGGTGGGGGAGAATGGAAAAAGTGAAGGCCAGAAGCAGGGTCACGCCTTTATCTCATCCATAAGTGAGGAACAGAAGGAAATATTGCCATAGCCAGACAGAGCCATGCTCTCCGGGAGGGAAGACAATAGCTGAAAAATCATCTCACCTTTGTTTCCCCAGTCCCATCGCCTGTCCGGGTACATCTGCATAGGAGAAGGCAAAAGTCAAGTATTCTAACCAGAAAACCACAAAGTAGTAGCTGGCTCTGTCTACATGAAGTTAAGAGGACCAAGTTTCCAAGTAGCCTTTGCAGACTAGAGAAGATGGTCTGCCTTTTATTTTATCCCTTAAGCCCAGAGTCAGCAGTTAGGCAGCATTGCCAGCTTTTATGCTTGGGGGGAAACTGTTCTCTTTTTGTCTTTTTTCTCTCCACCAGGAATGCCTCTTCCCCACCCCCCACCCAAAATCTGCAGATACCTACATTCTTGGCTCCTGTCTTCCTCCTACAGGCCTTCTCCTTGCCTCTTCCCGCCCTGCTCAAACACACCCTAAGAAAACTTTAGCTTTTGTAGCCTTCCTCATTTGTGCCAAGAGTCATAAATCTTGCTGAGCAGAGAGAAACAAACAAGTTTGCTCTGAATAATAAGAATAACCAACCATCTCTTCTGCCAGTGCATTTAAAATGAAGCCAATGCGCTAGTTCTTCTCATCTTCTCAGAAGTACAAATGTCCTTATCACCCCTTAGCCCCTTCTGCCCCATCCAGAGGTGCAAATCTTAACAGAAACTTCCCAGTGAAGTTCTTACAAGCCTCTGTACTGCCGCCTGGTCTGGAGCTCCAGCTAAACTGCGGAGTCCTCCTTTTGTCACCCTCTCTTCAACCCTACTGCCCTGCAAGATGTTCTTGGATTTTAAATCATCACTCACCGCTTGTTGTCTGTTCTCAAAAAGGGGGGGAGGGGCATTAAAAAAGGTCTGGCCTTGCCCCCACCCTCATTACAGATGGAGAGATTTGGGAGGGGGAGAGAAGGAATAGAGAGGTTCTGCTCCAGAGAAGCAGAGATTTTGAGATTCAGAAGGAGGGAGGGGAAGGAAGGGGGGGAGGGAGAGGGGGGGACCAAGAGACAGAGAGAGAAGGAGAGAGAACAAGAGAGAGACTGGGGTGCAGGAGACCCACTCACCAGTCCTGCAGAAGTAAAACTACTTAAAACACACACACACACACACACACCCCAACACCAACAAAGTCCTGGTGTTCCAACTCTTTAATACATACGGAGGGTACCACCAGCACTCCTATTCCCTAGCCAGGCTACTCTTTAGGCCTTCAGAGGCTACTTCTTAAATTAGCATAATGGATCATAGTGGGGTTTTTTGGGGGGTAAGGGGGCAGCTGGGAACTCCATCTGCTTTTGCTTTTCCCCAGTATTTTCTGTCTTCTTCCTCCCCCCCACCCATCTCACTTAAAAAATTTACCTGTTCTTTAAAAAAAAAATTCCTTCTTTCCTTCTTCTTACTCTTTTTTTTCTGTTTGTTTGTTTTGGGGTGTGGGGGGGGATGATCAACAATCCCCCCCCTCCACCCTCATCACGACCATCACCTTCCCTCCTTATCAGGCATCTAAGCTTGCTAAAGGGGGAGAGGTGGGGGGGGTGTGTGAGCTTGTGTGTGAGTGAGTGTGTGTGTGTGTCTGTGTGGTTTTTTTTTTTTTTTTCCCTGTGCAAAAGCAGAGGCCATTGTTACGGAGAGTAGGGCGTACCAGTCTTATAGGGCAACCACACTGTGGCGGCTTGGCTGAGCCGGAGCCTGGAGCTGGATTCTCGGCGAGCCGAGCAGCCCCAGCACCTTTCGGTCTTCTATTTTTTTCCCCCGGCTCCCCCAACCCCTCCCTCCTGCGCACCCCCGCTCCTAAGCCGAGTGAATTGAAGCGGACGCCGCGCGGCTCCACGGGCCGGTCTGCCCCTCGGGCTCCCCAGCCGGGGTGGCTTTGGGGAGGGGGGGGGGGCGACGCAGCTTTAAACAGTGCTCTTTTTTTCCTCCCCCTTTGCCTTCAAGGAGGGGAGATTTCTCGCCTGCCGCTCGCGCTGGGGCTCGATGTGAATATATATTATGTCTGCCTGTTCTCCCCTCGTCGGTGGCTAAGGTAAGCTGGACTGAAATAGGCTATCAGTTTGTGAATGGCGGAGAGTATGTCTCAATGATTTATGGCCCATATGACTCCAATCTCGGTTCAAGAAGAGTTCACAAGCTTTAAGCTTCCTTCCACGCAGCGACTGACTCTCTCTCTCTCTCTCTCCCTCTCTCTCCCTCCCCTCCCTCCCTCTCTCCCTCTCTCTCTCTCTCCCTCTCCCTCTCTCACTGCTTCTCTCCTTTTCTCTTTCCTTCCAGCAGGCTTGAATCCCCCCCCTCCCCTCGGTGGTTAAGAAGAACCTAATCTTTCGCTTTTCTCTCTCTTTCGTGTTCTTTTATTTTCCTTCCCTTCATTAATTTTTTTTTAACTCCTGGAAGGTGGCTTATCCTCTCTCCTTGGGCTTCTCGAGCTATTGTTACCCTCCCTGCCTCTCCCAGGGGTGTGCCTGGGCAAGGTGGGGTTCCTGTGGGGGGGCTCACCTCCTTTATCCAATGAGACCCTTTGGGAAAGCCAGGAGCCACCGTCTCCCTCCCACCCTTCGGAGGAGCCATATGGAGCCTGAATTTTTCCAACATGGAGGCAAAGGAAATAGACGTTTGGCCGGGCAGAGCTGCTTCCCCCCCCTCCACACCCCCTTTTCTCCTGGATCCTAGATCTCAGACCCCCACCCCCATCCGGCACCTTGCCTCTTCCCACTGTCCGGCCAGTCCGGCCCCGGCGCCCTCCAGCCCGGAGCCTGGCTGGGCAAAGTCCCAGAGCAGAGTTGCCAAGGCGCCTTTTAATTCGGTTACCTCCAGCGCCCAAACTTGCCGCTGTAGAGCTCAGCTCTCGGCCGGCCGGGTGTGTGGGAATCTGCTACGGCTAACCATTTCAGTGTCCAACGATGGCTTTCTCTTCGCCTCCTTGGGCTACCCTAGGTAGCTGGTAGCTGCTCACCGGGGTCACCGCAGCCACAGCGGGCTGGAGGCGGCCGGGGAAGGGGGCTGTCTGAGTGCAGGAACCTTCTCAGCCCTGTCTCTCTGCCGGCGGAGCCTCCATTCTTTCCGATCACCGCTCTAGCTCCTTTGCTTCCCACTCCCCTGGCCTGTGTCCTGAGACCGTTCGGGGTTTATTGCAGGGAGAGAGCAACAGAATTTTGGCCTCAGGCGTCTAGTCAAATTATTGTTTTATTTTTTATTATTATTATCATCATCGCCATCATTATTGCTATAACTATCATTTAGACTAAATAAAGCCAGGGCCCAGCCAGCTAACCCCCTCCAACATTTTTATTTCATTCTCTTCTCTATCTATTAATAACAAACTCAACTGACGCCTGTTAATTAATTCCCCCTTCATCAGGGCCGCTCAGAAGCTAATTTTGGTTAAATCATCAGAGGCTAATGGTAATAATAATAAAAGGATTGGGTCAGCCTGGTCAATTGAACTCCAGTTCTCCCTAGAAGGACCTGCTGCTCTGCAGACCCATGTGTATTTCCAGAAACAAATCCTTCCCAGAAACCAATTGGAACTTAGGGCCATCCCAGCTCCCTTTTGAGTATAAATCTCTGCACTGTTGTTAAGATTTATGTGTGGGAGGGACTTCCTTCACCTGAACCCCTTTTATTTTCCTAATTTATTTTTAAGTTTTCTTTGGAGTTGAGCCGCTGGGCTGATTGAGATTTGAGTTTTCCAAACACACAGGACAGCCTGGAGTTTTTATGAAAAGTAGAGGTGAGAGGTTGGGAAAGACAAGGAAAAATATGGCCACAAGTTTCACAACAAATACACACAATCCTACATCTTGAACCTTTATTTTGCTGGAACACTTTTAAAACGCTATATTGGAAAAGTGATTGTATTTTATTTCTGTTCGAGAGAACCCCAGTAAATAAGGGGTACCTTTTCTATTACTAACTCACTCAAAGAAAGATATTGGTCAAATTCCTTTGTGGATTTTTTTTTTTTTTTTTTGCATCCTGAATCGTTTTCTCATCTTTGGGGAAAAAAGTCCAGCAGTTACACATTTCTTTTGGAGAAATCAAAGAAAACTGACTGTGAAGGAAAGGGTTGGGAAAATTGGTGATTTAAAAAAAAAAAGAAGGGTGCGGGGAGGGGAGAGATCTGGGCCAAATGGTCACAGCACCGGGTTCTTGCCATTGCTAAGAATTTGAAACAACCCTGTTCCATTTGGAAGCTCCACAGGGGCCATTGGCTGCCAAGTCCCAGGCCTGGCTAAGCAAAGAAGGTAGTGAAGGTAGTGGTACCTCAGCAGAGCAGCAGACCTACAAAGGGAAGCGGGGTTCCACTGGCTGTGAGTTAGAAATCTTCAGAAAGTTTGTAGAAACAGTCTGGAGTTGCTGGCATCCTGTGAAGGGATGAGGAGAAGGAACATTACTGGAAAAGGTTCTCTTATGAACTTGCTTCTTTTTCTTTCTTTTTTTTTTTTTGTCCCAGATCTCCCGGTTTCCTCCAGGCTAGATTTTGTTTAGTGAAAGTGTAGAAGTGAGGCCAGATTGGAGGCAGAGAGGCCGCTCAGCAAAGGTGCTGGTGATGCTTTTATTTTGGAGTCTTCTAGTGCCCCCCTCCCTTGAACCACCCTATCCCAGAGTTAGGGGGAGGTGAGGAGAGAGGGAATGGGAGAGGTCAGGGGCTAGTGCACCAGCGGTGGAGAAGCCAGGGAGGGCCCTGGTGGCCACAGGATTCTACACCTAGGCAGTCCCCTTTTTAAAGTAGATATGAACACGGGTGGCATTTCTCTTTAAAAATTAAAGCATTGAAATAAGAAAAATCCATTTCAAATCAGATACATGGCTTTAGCATCAACTCTGGAGATGTTAGGGAGGTGAGAAGAAGGAAAAAAACCCCACAAAAACAAAAACCTATTGATGTCAGTTCCCTTTTCAGTTCCTAAGATGGATTTGAGCCCAAGTCCTCTTCTCCCCCTTGTGTCTCTCTTCTCTCGCCCCGCAGGTCAGCCGCTTGGAACAGTCCCGGGAGGAGGGGGGCAGAAAGGGGAAAGGGAGAAAGAGGGGGGGGGTCCGGCGTGTCACGTGACCCCCAGGGGTGCCAATGTCCGGTTGTGAGGGTAGCAGGCCTTTGCAAGTTGCCACCCCCTGCCAGCGATGCAGAAAGCCACCTACTACGACAACGCCGCCGCCGCACTCTTCGGAGGCTACTCGTACCCAGGCAGCAATGGCTTCGGCTACGACGGCCCCCCTCAGCCCCCCTTTCAGGCTGCCACGCACCTGGAGGGTGACTACCAGCGTTCAGCATGCTCGCTGCAGTCCCTGGGCAACGCCACCCCACATGCCAAGAGCAAGGAGGTCAATGGCAGCTGCATGAGGCCCGGCCTGGCCCCTGAGCCCCTGCCCGCTCCGCCAGGCTCACCCCCGGCCAGCGCCGCACCTACCAGTACCACTAGCAACAGCAGTAACGGGGGCGGTCCCAGCAAAAGCGGCCCCTCCAAATGCGGTCCCGGCTCCAACTCCACCCTCACCAAACAGATATTCCCCTGGATGAAAGAGTCGAGGCAAACGTCCAAGCTGAAAAACAGCTCTCCCGGCACAGGTACCAGCTCTCTGCCTTCCTCGCTTTTGTCCACTCCAGGAATGTCACTGTTATTCTAGCACCCAGCCCCTAGGCGCCCAGCAGGCGGGCTAAGACCAATATTAGGTGGCGGCTGCGCATTTTCCCCCTGTACCTCTTACCACCTGATGACCCCCTGTGACCCCGCCAATACCCTGTCCATCTACCCAGGGGGTGAGGCGCTTAAGCCTTGGAGCCCCTTCCCAAGGCCACAAGGCCCAGAGGCATCACCAGGAAGACGCACATTGATTATTATTAAGTATGATTACTGTGGGTATTAATCACAATTGTTCTGGCGGCCCGGGGTCTCAGCCTCCAGGCAAAGGCAGTCTTCGTGCCACACGCCCACCAGCCCCCCCTCCTATCCATGAGGGCCGGTCCAGTTTTCCTCCCACTCCCCAAGTGTTTTCCCCACAGGCACCCATCCTGTCCATAGGACAGGAGTAAGGGGATGGATGTCTGGGATTGGGAATAAGGGGATGGGGGGGGGGGGAAGGGGGAGACACATGCGCACCCAAAAAGAAAAAAGAAAAAAAAAATCCAGCCTTAAATAAATGGCCACACAGCTCTGTCTGCATGACATGATCAAATTTTCATAAGCTGGGGCAGTGAGAGGAGAACAGGTCTCTTAATAAATGCCACTATTATAGAGTGTCCGCTAATGCGACGGGCGGGGGGGGGGAGGGTTGAAGAGGAGGCGGGGACACGGAGGGGAGGGCGGCGGGGGCTCCCGAGTCCAGGCCTGGATTTATTAAGAAACGATGCATTCAATTTCGACGTGTTCAGTAATTATCTTTTATTTCATTTTCTTCCTCTTCTCACCCCTCCCCCTCGGATCCGGCAGAGGGCTGTGGCGGCGGCGGCGGCGGCGGCGGCGGCGGCGGTGGAGGCGGTGGAGGCGGCGGCGGCAGCGGTGGGGGCAGCGGCGCGGGCAGCGGCGGGGGAGGAGGGGACAAGAGCCCCCCGGGATCGGCGGCGTCCAAGCGCGCGCGCACGGCGTACACCAGCGCGCAGCTGGTGGAGCTGGAGAAGGAGTTCCACTTCAACCGCTACCTGTGCCGGCCGCGCCGCGTGGAGATGGCCAACCTGCTCAACCTCAGCGAGCGCCAGATCAAGATCTGGTTCCAGAACCGGCGCATGAAGTACAAGAAAGACCAGAAGGCCAAAGGCCTGGCTTCCTCCTCTGGGGGTCCCTCTCCCGCCGGCAGTCCCCCGCAGCCCATGCAGTCCACCGCCGGCTTCCTGAACGCCTTACACTCCATGACCCCCAGCTACGAGAGCCCGTCCCCGCCCGCCTTCGGCAAAGCCCACCAGAATGCCTACGCGCTGCCCTCCAACTACCAACCCCCCCTTAAGGGCTGCGGCGCCCAGCAGAAGTATCCCCCCACTCCGGCGTCAGATTACGAGCCCCACGTCCTCCAAGCCAACGGGGGCACCTACGGGACCCCCGCCATGCAGGGCAGCCCCGTGTACGTGGGAGGGGGCGGCTACGCGGATCCGCTGCCGCCCCCTGCCGGCCCCTCCCTCTACGGCCTCAACCACCTGTCCCACCACCCTTCTGGGAACCTGGACTACAACGGGGCGCCCCCCATGGCTCCCAACCAGCATCATGGACCCTGTGAGCCCCACCCCACCTACACAGACCTCTCCTCTCACCACGCGCCTCCTCCTCAGGGTAGAATCCAAGAAGCGCCCAAATTAACACACCTGTGATGTGGGAGGGTAGGGGAGGAGGGAGGTCAAGGTCGAGGGGAGGCCAGCCTGGAGATTCCCAGGGAAGTGTGAGGTTGGAGGGCGGGGGGTGCAGGGAAATTGCAGGAAGTGGTCGGCAGGCTTGCACGTGGGAACCGACCTGGAGCTCCCCTTCCCTCCTCCCTGGCCCGAGGGCTTGTTTTTAAATCTTCCACTCCTTATTCCATCTGCCTGCCAACCCACTTGGAAAGGAATCCACAGCAGACTGGAGATGACCCCCATCAATCCCAGGTCTCTAGTGCTACCCAGCTGGAATTCCATGCTCCTTCCAGAGGGAGTTGGGCAGAGAAAGCCGAGATAGGAAAACAAGGCAGAGAAAGAAGCACATTTTCAAAAACAAAAAAAAACCCAGACAAGATGGGTAGGCCATCACCAACCAACAGACTTACCTTCCATCTCTGTTGATAACTCCCCCAAATCTTGATTTTTTTTTACCCCTCTCATTTTCCTTAAGAAACAAGGAAACAGATTTAAACCCAAGGGCACAAAATTCTCCCTCCACTTCTCCAAGCCTCAAAATGTTCTCCCTTCTATTTGAGGTCTTTGGGGAACATGCCCTCCATTTCGAACTCCATAGTTTGTTTGTTCTAGGTCATTCATCTTTATACCCCGGCCCCATCAATTCGTTTTCTGAGGCCTCAGGGATGATGAGATCCTGAAAATCAGAGCTGCCTATAGTATAAATAAATATATATATACATATATATTTTTTTTCTTTTAAAGGAAGAGTTGGGCTAAGGCAGGCAAGTTGTCAGGACTGAAGGTTTGCCTGTTCTGCAGCCTAAGTTCAGCTCCAGGTCCATCCCCACCCCCAGCCCCCTTGCGGACAGCGAATGGCCACAGAGGTTCTCCACTTTTCTTTTCTTGCATTGCTCTCTTGACTTAACGTGAAAACAGGGTATATTTGAACAAACTGTCTGTCCCAGGCAGGGGCTGCAGCTGGGTCTCTGTGCCTTGCTCAACCTCCTGACAGGACACTTTTGTTGCACTTAGAGTTTACATTTTAATGGATATAAAAACAACTGTGAGAGATGTCTGGGCCTGCAGAGGTCCAGCATTGCTCAAAAAGCGTGTGTTCTAGTGAACATTTTCATATATATTTATTGGTTATAGCCTGTTAAGATATTTTCTTTCCTTTTGGTATTATTTATCCCCCTACATTATGTATTTATATGAGGGAAAAAAAGGAAAAATGTACTTTTTTAGTATTTACTTGTTATAAGGGACATTGTGTTTCCTGTCATGTAAAACCAGCTATTTTAGTTTTTCTTGTACTCTAGAAAAGAGCTGTAGATTTATGTTAAACTCGTACTTATGAGCTATTGTAATTAGTTCTAAAAGGCATGAACTCAGCTCCTAATTGTCACTGTATAGTCCTGAATTTGTAGAGTTAGAGTTAATTCCCTCTTGGAACTTTCTTTGTTCTTCTGTAGTTACTTTTTCCCCCCTTACTTGAAAGGGTTGTCTGTCAAACAATTCTTGAATAAACTTTCTGTTATCAATTTTATCTTGTCCTAGTGGTCCAATTTAGATAGCAGAATGAGACTGTTGATTGCCATTTTTTTCCTCCAAGGAAAAGAGGGCATTAAAAACCCTTCCCTGACCTTTTCGTCTGATGGTCAGGTTCCTATCTGTTCCATTTCTCCCCACCTATTTTTCCAGGTTAAGTAGTTTTTCTCTCACAGGAGCCTGAGCCATTCTACCAGCTTCTTTTAAGTTTTAAGTGACAAGTAGAAGATGGACAGGGAAGTCTTGGGGCTTTCTGTATTATTCATTCTGTTTGCCTCTCATTTTTCTCATTTATTGGCTTTATTATTATTATTATTTTGGTCTGTTTCTTACTTGGCTACAATGTTTGTATGCTTTCCCCAAACAAACAAACAAACAAAAAACAAAACAAGAAAATCTGGCCTATTTATTACTGCTCTTCCATGCAACCTAAACTTCACAGTTCTCTTCCGGAGCTACAAAGAAGTTGTCACGTGACCTAAAGCCCAACTATCATTGGGTCTAAAATGAAAACAAAGGAAAATGATTAATCTTAAAAAAAAATGGGAAGCCTAGACTTCTCAGGTCAAACCTTAAAACTAAAGTGAAATTAAATCATTAAATAAAACCTAAGGCAGAGGGAGAGGAAGCGAGTTTGATTTCCCCTGCCAGGGAAAAAGGAAAAGAAAGTGGCAGAAGCTGTTGGAGCCAAACGTAAATAAAATGGTCCCCAGGCTAATGTGCAGCTCTGTTTCTACGATCCTTGGGAAAACTTCATTTCTTAGTCGTGGTTCCATAAAAGTTTTATCACATTGGAGCGAGGATAGAGAAGGTCTGTCAAAGATGAAATGTCACCACTGAATCGCTGGAGCCGATAAGAGCGAGAAGACAGGGTGGCTGAAATATGGAGCTAATTCGTTGAAAGAGAAGCAATGGCTGCTTGCTGAAGAGTTGCATAATTCTAATTGTAAGCGATGCACCCGCATTGCTTAATTAGGAGCATATATTTGGTGATAGTGGTATAGGAGGGGGTGAGAATTGTTCTAGGCCCACAACCTTAAAGTGAGGGCTGATTTTCATTTTTATGTTGCATCTTGGCAGTCCAAGGTTAGTAATTACAGTCTTTATGCAACAATAAATAACAATAAAAAAGCAACCTGAATTCTATACCAGCCCCTCCCCCCCATCAAGTAGAATTTTAACTGGACTCAGCCCATCCAGGCAGCAAGCAATTTAGCATTGGGTCAGGCTATAATTTAAAGGCAGAAGAGCGTGCAAAGTTTGATTGGGATCAAATAACGCTCAAGGGTTTTTCTTTTTCTCTTCCTCTTCCCTGAATAACATTTTCTGAATGTTGTAACTAGATGAAGGGCCACGTTTGGTCTGGGGGTGGAGGGTGGAGTGGATTGCTGATTTATCTCCTAGGACAGAGGCAGGCCAAGAGAAGATTTAGCTATAGTACAAAAAAGCTGGCTTGAAGCTGGGATTGCAAATAAGAAAGAAAAAAAAAATCGGCCTGGTTTGGCTTGGTGTTCCTTACCTTCTGTCTGCTGGATTCCAGACTCAGCTAAAGATAGGGGTAAAAATATCTGTGTTGTATGATTCCTAGCAGGACAGAAGGGCACTCTTACCCTTTATAACACCCAAGTTTTCTGCTGTTCACTAATCTGGCCATAAAACCTGTCAGCAAGGGTTAGAGAGTTGTATTTCCTATAGGGACAGTCTCTGCCTGATTGCTTGGAGGAGCCCTGGATCCTGAAGCCAGCTGGAGTGGCTGATAGAAAGCACACAAGAGCCTATAGGGTCAGCCAGAGGTACTCCACTCTCCAAGGCCTCCCTGCACAACTTCCAGATTGCAACTATTTGGATACCGCCCATTCCCCTCCTCACCTCTAAATGACAAAAAGTAAAATAAAGGTTTCCTTTGCAGCTAAGTTGCAAACCACCCTGTCTGGTTAGTTGGTTCGTTTCAGAGCAGTTCTCCAGAGTCCTCCAGAGCCTATCCCTGGAGCCCCCACCTCCAGCTCCCCTTTTCTCTCCTCCACCCCCCACCCTGCTACTCAGACTTCTCTGCCCTTCTTTTTAAATACTCACCACCACCCACGCCGATGTTACATTGACAGAAAGTTTCTAGTTCCAGCTCTCAGCTGAGTTGCCATTTCTCTGCTAACCAGCCTTTTCCTCCCCGGCAGGGTAATGGAGAGCCAGGAGGGGGGAGGGGAGGCCAGATCCGTGGGAGTTCTTCAGGCAAACTTTCCACCCAACTTAACGCCTTCCCTCTGTCCCCATTTCCCATCTGTTTCCTGGCTCTCCCAGATCACCTTTCTCTGTTGCCACCCCCCCCCCCCAGGCCTTTTTAAGGGATGTGGAATTTCGGCTGTTCCCTCTTGCTTTCCCAAAGAGCCAAATTCTTTGATGCAATCGGAGAGAGCTGTCAGGGGGTAAGATTGATCGCCTCATCTTCTCTCCGTCCCTCTGACCCACTTATTTAAAAATCTTCCTCCAGATCGACTTTTCATTTTCTGCTTTGAGGCCTAGTTTCCCACCAATTGCTCATGGCTCTTGAGTTTTATGCCTCCTCCCTTTAGCAAATTACAGCATTAAACTTTAGACTATCTTAGTCTCCTTACAATAAAAAAAATTAGAAAAAATTCTCCAGAGGCCAGAAATGGAATATCATCTTAGTGATCATTATTTCCTCTTGTATGGTCTTCAGGGAATTCTTACTAAGGGTTTGTAACACACACACACACACACAGAGAGACAAATATGAGAGGGAAAGCCTCTTTGTCCTAGGGAAGAATCCCCACCCTCTACCCCATGTGTTGACCTGAGTTTTGAGAGTTAAATGATGGCTTCTACCTTGGTTCTTGTTCCTGCTTCTGGCTACAGATATGGGTAAGGTTGAGAGGGACATATATATCTTCTGTACATGTATGTGTGTGAGTGGAGAGACAGGGGTGTCAGAGAGGGATGTAGGTGCCCCCCCAAGAGGAAAGCAAGTGGACATAAAGAGCTGCCTGTAAACACTGGGCAAGAGAAGGGAAGCTAGGCTACATAGCTATGGAGAGAAGCTAGTGGCCCCAAATTGCTCCTCACGTGTGTCACTTTTCTGTGTCAGGCTGTGGGTGCTGGTCTATTTCCCAAGACTGAACTATTGCTTTTAGGGGCAGGGATAGGGAAAATAGTGCAGCTGCTGGGAAAAATCACTCCCCTTTATTTGCACCCTAATACCTTTCCCAAATGATAGAAGCTTCTTTTTATTCCCTCCTCTTCCCTCATTGAGATTCTCTCTCTTTTCCTGGGGCAGGGAGAATGCTGGCCAGAAAACAGGAATATTTTCCCTATAGATTTGGTTATTTCTCAGATTCCTACAACCTTCCAGTCTCCCAAAGGGAGAAAGAGGTTCCTCAAGCCTTTCTGGAGAAAAGAGAGTCATTGGTGTAGGAATGGGGGGCTCATGGTGTCCAGGCTGTGGTCCTCTGGAGTTTTTGAATCAATTAAAGCAAATAATGCTTTCTGTTTTCCACCAGGCCCAGAAAAGCGATTGGCCAAGGCCGGTCCCGTGACCACGAATTCCCTGCAATTTCGCTGGGAGTCCTGGGTTTAATAGAGAGAGTCCCCATACGCTTGTATTTATCAGCAATATACAATTATAAAGGACCAAAATTTAAAAAGAGGGAGAGAGCAAAATCTCCCCCCCCCCTCCTAAAATCGCTCCATCTCATAAACCTGGGGGGGGGCGGGAGGGGGGGGTCCCTTCCGATCCTCCCTCCTGACGCCCCCCCCAGCAGGCCCCCTCCCCCACCATTGAAAGCCATGAATTTTGAATTTGAGAGGGAGATTGGGTTTATAAACAGCCAGCCATCGCTCGCCGAGTGTCTGACTTCCTTCCCCGCTGTCTTGGAGACATTTCAAACTTCATCAATCAAGGAGTCGACATTAATTCCTCCTCCTCCTCCTTTGGAGCAAACCTTCCCCAGCCTCCAGCCCGGCGCCTCCACCCTTCAGAGACCCGAGAGCCAGAAGAGAGCCGAAGATGGGCCTGCTCTGCCTCCACCACCGCCGCTCCCCGTCGCCCCCCCAGCCCCCGAGTTCCCCTGGATGAAAGAGAAGAAATCCGCCAAGAAACCCAGCCAATCGGCCTCGTCTCCTTCCCCAGCTGCCTCTTCGGTTTCGGCCCCCGGGGTCGGATCGCCCGCAGGTCGGTAAGCTTGGTGGGGGTGGGGTGAGGGGCAGCTGGAACGGGAGGCAGAAAGAGCCATGGAGGTGGTTAAAAAAAGAAAAGTGGCAAACCTGTTGGGGTTCTAGGGCTTGGTGGATTCGTAGGATAGGGAAGCAAAACGTCCCACTGGGGTTCAGGCCTGGCCACTGTCATCATTTTTATTCTGCTATAGAAGTTTTGGAAGCTGGTTAGGAAAACAAATGTCCCCCCTTTCTGGCCCCCCCCATGCTAGAAGAAATGGATTCGATTGAGATTTTTACACTTATCCGTGTAAAGGAATGAGCATTATTGCTGCGACTGAATCTAAAGGCAGGAAAAGATGCGTCCTCCTCCTTCTCCCAATCCTAGCAGAGGAAGGGGGAATTTAAGAGCCAGGAAAGAAAAAAGGAGTAAAACACAATATTTATGAACCCTTTCCCCAGGTTGAATTGGAAAGTTCTGGATCAAGGGATCCACTGGGAGGACCTGGGAAGGAAGAGGGGAGGTTGGTTCTGGGAATGAAAGCAAGCCGCTCCCCGCCCCCTACGTGGCCCGTGGGCGGCTAGGAATGCCGTGCCCTGCCCGGGAGCCAGCTTCGCCACTCCGGGGTGGGAGTAGAAAGAACCGAAAAAGGTGGGAGAGCAAGCCGTGTTGGGGTGTGAAGAGACTGCTCATATTGTTTTTTTGGCGGACGGGGTAGCGTTGATCGCAGCTGAACTGAAGTAGGCCCTCGGTGACGCCCCGACTTGCTGCTTGCCTCCGCAGATGGCCCAGGACTGGCGGAGCCCGGCGGCGGCGGCGGCGGCGGCGCGCGCAGATTGCGCACAGCGTACACCAACACACAACTGTTGGAGCTGGAGAAGGAATTCCACTTTAATAAGTATCTCTGCCGGCCCCGGCGCGTCGAGATCGCGGCCTTGCTGGACCTCACCGAAAGGCAAGTCAAAGTCTGGTTCCAGAATCGGCGCATGAAGCACAAGCGGCAGACGCAGCACCGAGAGCCGCCTGATGGAGAGCCCATCTACCCGGGGACCCTAGAGGACACCGGGGACCCATCTGAAGAACCCTCGGCCAGCCCGCGAGATCCCTCCGCCTCTCAGGGGGCGCGGGAAGTCTGCTTTCAACCAACCGCTGTTGTTCCGGGTCCCCCGGGCGCCCCCGGCCCGGAGTCTTTGGCTTCTCACTTGGAGAGTGCGGGCGCACTGAGTCCCAGCTGCGCGCTGAGCCGAGAGCGCGCGCTGGAGCCCGAGCCATTGCTGGAAGACGCCTTCCCCGAGCGGCAGGATTCACCTTCCCTGCCTGACATTAACTTCTTCACCACAGACTCTTGTCTCCAGCTGTCCGGAGGCCTTTCCCCCAGCTTGCAGGGCTCCTTGGACAGCCCGATCCCCTTTTCGGAAGAAGAGCTGGACTTCTTTACCAGCACGCTCTGTGCCATCGACCTGCAGTTCCCCTAACCCAGTTCCTCCCTCGATCCCGACTCTTTTCATCCCTGCGTTCCTTGGTTGGCTGTTGGGAAAGAAAAAAAGAAGGAAAGAAAGAAAGAAAATCAATCCTTTACCCCTAGTCGCATTTACTAACGTGGTTTGCTAAAATTCAGGTATTATTGAATTAGCATTAAACCCGCTCCCTTCTTTCTCTTTTTAAAATGTCACAGGAAAAAAAAAATCTGTTTGGTAGACTCCTTCCAACGAAATCTCAGGAATAATTAAACCCTAGGAGGGCTTTCTTAAAAAAAATTAGAGGGACCTATTTTCCTCCTTTTTTAAGTTTTACATGTAGATTATTTATTTAAATTCTTTAATAATAGGAAAAGGGGAAATATTTATTGTACATTATTTTCATAGATTAAATAAATGTCTTTATACTGTGAAAACGAGTCTTATGTTTACGCTCAGCTTCTTTATACCGTCCCCAACACCTACCCTCATTTTAGAACCCTAGCAAGATTGGTCTTGGAGAGAGAGCGCCCGGCTGGTGGCCTTACCCTCCCCCGCCCCTGTCCACGCTGGCAAAGTCCGGATGGTACAAAGGTGACTCCTGCGTAGGGACCACTTGCCCGGCCGCGGCTCCAGGTAGCCTCGAGGGGTGGTTCTCTCATCTGTCCCCCAAGTCTCTGGCCCGGTATGGATATTCTCTTGGTCTCTGATCGGAAATAATAAGATGGATGAGTGAAAGTGAGCAAACAGAAGTGGTGCCGGGAGGCTTCGGGGATGAGCTTGGGAGTGACGGCTGTAGCGCCGAGGCTGAACGGAATTAGAGGAATCCCGGGGTCCCAAGCCGGGCAGAGAGGCTTTTCCCTTCACGCTGGAAGCCTGAGGCCCTGAGGCCTGAGTCCAGATCTCCCGGGGCAGCGGGGTGGGGTGCGGGCGGCAGTGGGGTGCTGGTTGTGGGTTTCTCGGGAAAGCAGGGCCAAATGCCCGGGAATGATAACTCATCTCCAAAGTGGCAAGTGAAGAGGCCAGCTGAGAAGGTGGCACGGCCAGGGCGGACACCGACGCCCGCGGGCTCCTCCAGGGATCCGGGGGAAGTGGGGAAGGATCGATCCCCCGAGCACAAAGCCTCCAAGGAGGCCCGGGCCGCGTCGGGACAATACAGACCGAGGGCGAAGCGAGGCGCGGGGAGAGCCAGAGGGGGAGACGGGGAAGCAAAGAAGATGCTCAAAATGGCGCTGAGGCCTGGCAGTCCGGGAGGGCCAGCGAGGAGATCGTGGCGGCCATGACAGCCGCGGGAGGGATGCACCGCGGGGGTTCAGGCCCGGGTGTGGGGAGAGGTGTGGGAGCCCCCCCCCACTACTTTCCTCCAGTTGCCAGACTTCCAGACCTGACAGCTTTCTAGCTATTTCCCCCCCACACCCCCATCCCCCTTTTCTTTTTGAAGAATGAGGCCAATGGATGCTGAGGGCTGGGGGTGGCAGGACAGGCCGCGTGGGTGTGGGAGGGGAGGGGACCAGCCGCTGGCCCCGAGGCCGGGCTCTTCCCTGCCGAGTGTGACTTTTGATCCTCCTTGCGGGATTTGAAGCCGGGCCAGAACTTTCTCCGCACGCAGTCCTGCTGTCTGGGCCAACAACTTCATTTTCCATCTCAACGCCGCCATCCTATCCCTCTCCCCACCGCCCCTGCTCCCTTCCCAGCTCCGGGTCCGATCAGCTCAGCTCGGCCACGGCGGAGGCCAAGCGGGCCCAGGCAGGATCGATCTCTGCCCGCGTCTGCCTCCTGGTTTGTTCCCAGGCACGCGGAGATTTAAAGGGCCCTGGAAAGCCATTCATCCACCTCAGGTTTATTTAATATTTCTCCAGCTCAGGAACACACACCGCGGGGGCTACCTCCCCTCGGCTGAGACGCAGTTGATTTCCAAGGCCTCCCAGACTTTTCCCCAGGACCAGCAGGAACCGGACGTGGAGTACCAGGCAGCCAGAGGCAGCAACTGGCAGGAAAAGTCAGGAGACACGCAGGTCACTAGGCAGACCCATGGCTTATTATTTATTTATTTTTTCAGTTGGGCCCTCAGTGTGGGAAGTAACCCACATTTTATTCAGCTGGAATTTAATCCCTTAAACTGTCTTAATATAGATTCATCTCGTGCATTAAATAATCTTATGTCATGTTAAATTGCGCTTATTTCTCTCATAAATTAATATAGAACAATTAGATGTGTTATTATAATACTATCGTGTATCTTATTAGTTTATTCTCCCTCATAAAATATATAGGTGTGAAATAAATTCGATATATTAAAGTAATAATACACAGCTTATTGGCTTGTGTTTATTTTCCCCATAAATAAGTAAATATACAATATATTAAAACCACACTATACATCTCATTGGGCTGTGTGTTTATTTCTCCATAAAATATGCCCACAGGCAGTGTTTAGCATCTTAAAAATCACAGCACATAAGCCATCTCTATACTAGCAAAATGAAAGAGACGTATCAGCTGGTGCCTTGATTTCAATGGACAGCCAAACTAGATAATTTGGTCTAATTAAAAATGTTCTTGCAGCTTTAGCAGGTTGTTACAAAGATCAAGAATACTAGAAGGATCTCACTAATTACCCACCCTCTAGCTTTCTTTGGTCAGAAAAGAACAGCACTCTTTTATCAATGCAAAAGAGAGGGGGAAAAAATGCAGGCACTGCTGTGCAGGAGAGGAGAGACAGACACCCCATCCTGGAATCCTGGACTGCAAATACTCAGGGGTCTGTGAAGTTCCAGTTCTTTACAGCCTGGCTACTGTGGGTCCAGCAGCATCAGTATTACCTGTGAGGTAGTTAAAAATGTAGAATTTTAGGCCCCACTCCAGATCTACTGAATCTGAATCTGCAATTTAACAGGGCCTTAGTGACTTATAATAAAGTTTCAATAAATTAATTTTCAGAGGTATGGTTAGCAGGATACCTGTGGCTCATACCTGTAATCCTAGCTACTACAGAGATCTGAGGATCACAGTTCTAAGTCAGCTTGGGTGGGAAAGTCCATGAATCTCTAATCTTCAACTAACCACCTAAAAGCTGGAAGTGGAGCTGTCTGTGGCTCAAGTGGTAGAACACTAACTTTGAGTGAAAAAGCGAAGAGACAGTACCCAGGTCCTGAGTTCAAGCTCCAGGACTGGCACAAAAGAAGTACTATTAGGGGCTGGGAAGGTGGCTCAGTGGTAGAGCGCTTGCCTTGCATGCATGAGGCCCTGGGTTCGACTTCTCAGCACCACATAAGCAAAAAGAAAAAAGCTGGAAATGATGCTGTGGCTCAAGTGATAGAGCACTAGCCTTGAGATGAAGAGCTGAGAGACAGTGCCCAGGCCCAGAGTTCAGGACCCACGACTGGACCCCCAAAAAATAAATAAAATAAAGAAGTACTGTTGGATCACAGTGCTACCTTTCTTTTTGCCTTCCACCCTGTTAAGAATTTTTACCCCCTCCCCGTGTCACCTTTATTTTATTTTATTCTTGTCGGTTGCAGAACTTGAACTCAGGGCCTGGGCACTGTCCCTGAGCCTCTTTGTACTCAAGGCTATCACTCTACCACTTGAGCTACAGCACCACTTCTGTTTTTTTTGTGTGGTTAATTGGAGATAAGAGTTTGACAGGGACTTTTTCTGCCCAGGCTGGCTTCAAAGGGTGATCCTCAGATTTCAACCTCCTGAGTAGATAGGATTATAGGAGTGAGCCACTGGCACCTGGCTATACAACACGTCTATAATAATAATAAAGAACTTCAACCCACTGTACTTGACCCTATGACTTTCCAATTTTCCAACTCAAAGTAGACTACAAAGGACAGGGAATCTCAGCTACTGCCTAAGGTTGCATCAGTTCTGATTCCTCCTGCCAAATGAATAGGGAACCAACAGGGATCAGCCAAAGGCTCAATCTACCTGTTCAGAGTCTTGAATTTCCAACATGCTAGGGTACGTAAAAGATTGTGGTGGTCATGACAATTATTGTGCAGGGCCCAGCCTCCAATTCAGGAAACGAAGAGATCCAACATTTCCTTTGGTTGACTACTAAAGAGGACTTGGAATTCTCTTTACAGGAAATACACAGACTTCCTGTTACTCTTCTTACACAAATTGACTATCTTTGGTGACACCATAGCAATTGAAAGAGGTGATGCACTTGCAAAAGTAATGACTCCTCTCTTTGCTTTCCCTACCCAACGTCATTAGCTTCTTTTCTCTTCTGTAGAGTCGTCATTAGCTTGAGATGTTCTACTTGGCTATGAGGGAAGGGGAAGAGGAGTAGTTCCCAAGTAGGGAGGGCAGTGGATCTCTCAGTGGTGGCAGGCTAGAGGCCAGTGCCAGGCAATTGCATTCACTCCATTTTGATTGGGGCAGGAGCCCTTTTGGGTCAGGACCAACTGTGAGTGTCCTGTAGCACAGACAGGTTATAAATTGTGGTTGGAGTGGGAAGATTTCATTGTAGCCCAGAAAGCTGCTGGTCAGTCTGCCCTGCTCTTGGTGAATCATTCTTTTAAGAGGAATGGCTCATTAATATTATGGTGAAAGCAAATGACCATTAGATTGAGGAATTACTTGCAATCCTGATAACCCAGAGTCATTAAAAAAAAAAAAAGTTAACTTATGCTTCTCCTTTCTAGACTTCATTTTTTTTTCATCTGTGAAAAAAAATGAAAGTGTTAAATATTTCTAATGTATTCGGCAATAATATACGCCGAAGTATATTTGTTAGTCTTCACAAATAATCCATTAAATATTTATTTTAATTTATTTATTTATATTTTATTTATGCAATTTTTTATTGTCTTTAAGTAGTTGTACAAAGGGATTTCAATTCAACCCGTCACTTTATGAGTACAGTTCATTTTTATCAATGTCACCCCTTAATCACGCTCTCCCATTGCTCCCAACCTATTAAATATTTATTGTGGCTGGAGTCATATGCTCTTAAATGGATAAATCTACTTCCCATTTTACTGGTGGGACCATTTTTTAAAATATTTATTTGTTTGCTTGTTTGTTGTCAGTGTCTGAGCTTGAATTCAGGGATTTATACTCTCACTTGGTTGTTTTGCTCATGATTGGCTATCACTTGAATCTATTTCTATCACTTGAATCATGCCTCTAGTTCAGCATTTTTCTGCCTATTTGGAATGTCACAGACTTTTCTGCCTGGACTGGCTTCAAACCATAGTTCTTCAGGACTTAGCCTCCTGAATGGCTAGGTTTACAAACATTACAGGCATAAGCCACTCATGCCTGGCTCAATTTAACAAATTTTA